CTGCTGGCGTGGTTTCTTGCAGAACTGTAACCTCATTAAATTATTTATTGACGGGACGGCTGGAGTTGGTGTTTGTGCGGATTTGCTGCAGCTGTGTTCCGGAGCTGGCGGTGTGTCCGCCCTTGGAGAGAGCAGAAGATATTTTTTCAGCAGAAATTCTGATATTTTTCAGCAGATATTCAGAAGATATTTTTTCAGATGTGTCTGTCTTCCCCCTATATATCCATATAGAAAAGCAGTCTTCAGGATTCATTACAACAGAAATCTCTCTCCAGCAGTTTAATTGCTAGCGTCAGAAGATGATGATGTTGCACTCTTGGCTCAGTTTTGCAGAACCTCACTCTCTTACTGCCTTTATCAGTTTTGCTTGTAGAACTTTTAAAGCAAGGTCACGGGATTTAAAGCTGAGCTCAGACGTCCCGCTGCTTTAAAGTGGTGGCTCTAACACTGCTAGTGCTGGGCAGAACGTGGGGCGAGGTGTTCTGGTCACCCCCTTCTGTTTTTGCTTCTTTAGATGTGTGTGGCCACGAAAGCAAGCAGCTCTTCTGCTCCCGCTCGCTTTCCCCTGTGCGGGATGGCGTCAGTCTGGGTGCGGGGCCCTTGGGATGCGCGGCAGCGGTTCCTGCCGGGGAGCGGAGGTTCCCTCTCTGCCGGTCACGCGAGGGACGCTCAGCCCAGTCCGGCCTGGAGAAGTGAGAGGGAATTGCTCGCTGCGGCTCTGCGGCGGCAGAGCTGCCTGGCGCCCGCTGCGTGCCCAGGGAAGGTGATGCCGGGTGGCTCTCGGGCTTGCGTCGTGCCTTGAACAGCGGTGCGGCTGTGGGGCCGCGGCCCGGCGGGCTGGGAGGATGGTTCCAGGGGGAAAAGCACGCAACCAGGAACAGGGAACGGCGGGCTGAGAGCGGGCTCACGCGCCTTGCCTGGCTTTGCTCTTCAAGGGGGTTTCTGAGGATTACAAAGTCAATAAACACATGTGTGGTGGGGGAGCACGAGCCTGACAGCCGTGTTCTAACCGCAGTGCGTTACATGCTGCTGGGTTTCTTCAGCGTTGCTGTGAGCTTCGTTCCGGAGCCAGTTCTGCGCAGCTCGGGGGATGCTGTGCTGCTGTGCAGTGTTGGACCGGTCTGATGTGGGGAACTGACAATTAGTTCGATTTTGCTATAGCTTTAGTTTAATTTTGTTATATAATTTTGCATCTATGTTAAAGTAAGAGTTAAACACTGTTATTCAGTTTAGTTCTGCTCTTTGTAATCTTGCTACCAAGGACTGTTGTGGCTCAAATGTATCCAACAAGGACTGCTTGCAGGACAGATGAAGAGAAACAAGGACTGATAACCAGAACTTTGCTGTCTCTAAGAAGCAAC